TTTATGTGGGACAGGAAGCAACAGTTAGAACTGGATATAGAACAATTGATTGGTTCAAAATTGGGAAAGTAGTATGAAAAGCTGCATACTGTCTCCCTGCTTATTTAACTTATATGCAGAATACATCATGCAAAAGGCAGGAATGGAGGAATCCCAAACCGGAATTAAGATTGCTGGAAGAAATATCAACAACCTCAGATATGCAGATGATACCACTCAAATGGCAGAAAGTGAAGAGGAATTAAAGAACCTCGTAATGAGGGTAAAAGAGGAGAGCGCAAAAAATGGTTTGAAGCTCAACATCAAAAAAACCAAGACCATGGCCACTGGCCCCATTACCTCCTGGCAAAAAGAAGTGGAAGATATAGAGACAGTGACAGATTTTACTTTCTTGGGCTCCATGATCACTGCAGGTGGAGACAGCAGCCATGAAATTAAAAGACACCTGGTTCTTGGGAGGAAAGCGATGACAAGCCTAGACAGCATCTTAAAAAAGCAGAGACATCACCTTGTCGACAAAGGTCCACATAGTCAAAGCTATGGTTTTTCCAGTAGTGATGTATGGAAGTGAGAGCTGGACCATAAAGAAAGCTGACCACCGAATTGATGCTTTTGAATTGTGGTGCTGGAGGAGACTCTTAAGAGTCTCCTGGACTGCAAGGAGGACAATCCTATCAATTCTGAAGGAAATCAACCCTAAGTGCTTGCTGGAAGGACAGATCCTGAAGCTGAGGCTCCAATACTTTGGCCTTCTCATGAGAAAAGAAGGCTCCCTGGAAAAGACTCTGATGTTGGGAAAGTGTGAAGGCAAGAGGAGAAGGGGACGACAGAGGACAAGATGGCTGGATAGTGTCATCAAAGGGACCAACATGAATTTGACCAAACTCTGGCGGCAGTGGAATACAGGAGGGCCTGGCGTGCTCTGGTCCATGGGGTCATGAAGAGGCAGACACGACTTAATTACTAAACAACAACACCACATGCTGATTATTTCTATCTCACTAGGGAGTCTGCTCAGGCACTGAGCAGCATGGAAATCTGCAAAGCCTTTTTGACCAGAGATCCTAAACTCATTTTGAGTATTGTGATTAGCCAGTGAGCAATTTCAAATGTACATATATTTACAATTTTTAATGCTGGAAATGTGCAAAGGTGTTGGCACTTTCTCTGTATAGAAGAAGGGGCAACCCTATTTTCTTTTTCTTCCTCTGACCCAGATATTTTAGCTCTCCCAATGCCATTTGATGCATGAATGCTTTGAAGTCTACTTTGCTCAGGATTTACAATAGCAATGACTATGACTCATCCAAGCAATGTCCTCACCCCTCAGGTTCCGAATAAAGTCTTCCAACATCATCTTCCTGTCAGGCTTGATATTAGGACTATACATATCCGTGTTAAGAAGAATGATGGCGAAAGCCAGTATGAAAATGGTGTCAGGATTATGGAATTGCTGGACCACATCTGGGTTACACATGCAGTACCGCTGGCTGCAAGCAAAGGGACAGAAAGTCAGTACATGTGAATAGAAATCAAAGGCTTATTTATTTGTCACTAATATGCTTATATATCTGTCTGGGGATGATAAAGTTACTTATGCTGTGCCTAGCAACACAAGCATCAATATTGTGCACATGATCCCTGAGCTATATCTCAGACGAAAGGAACAAATTGGTCATTTTGTATGAATTTAAAAGGGCAGGTAAAATATGATAACTTTATCATGGGTCAGTTACCACTGATAAATTCTTTCGTATGATCAGAAGGCTCTGTCCATAAATAATAAAAGACACATGAAAATAGTTTCAACCATATGAATAACAGCAACTTGTCATTTGAAATCTGAATTTAATCTGTTGGAACATTCTCACAGCCTTGCTTTTTCACAGAATGATTGTCATATGATAACCTGATCATCTGATGCCTCTGAGACACACTGATTCTACTTCTGATAGTGTCTCAGTTGCCAAAATCCTTTTGCATAGCTACGCACATGGCATAACTTTTGGAAACAAATTGCCCCAAGTTAAGACATTGTATAACTACATACTTTATCAGCTGCACACTAAGTCACACAACTCAGCACACAACTGATGTTTACAGTGATTTCTTAACTTAAAACAATTCTAAGAGTTTCTCTGTTTGTACTGCATGCAGCATAACTAGGCAAGAGGATTTGAGCCAGTGGGTCCAAACACTTCCCTTAAATAGAAGAGTAAGACTGGATGAGCTTGCACCGTACAGTACAGTACTGTGCCAAGTATCACTCCACTTTCTGAATGACCTACCTGGAGTCTAGCTGGGAACAGAAATGATCAGCAAATGAGCGGGAGAAACACAGCTCTGTCTCCTTTCACAATTGAGGATTTCAAGATACATCAATGTTCTCCAGCTCTGAACCTATTCACCTCAAGATTTTGTCTTAGGACTTTAAGATAAAAGAGAATGACATCACCTTGAATGCTCCTACATCCCTGCATACCTTTCTGTCTTCCTTTCATGCCCACACGTGGTTAAATTAATCAGTTGAGTTTAACGGTTAATGGCTTATAATTTATCCAATCTGCATTAATATGACAAAATAGTGATGGATATTTTGGTCCTTTTCCAAGCCATGACATTTTCTCATGTGTACTCTTATACCTCCATTCCATCTCTGCACTAATTTACAAAATGATTTATGAATTTTATTTTAAATCCACATTTAAATGAATAGTTTTGAAGGCATTTTCTTTTTCAAATTCACATTTACAAATACATTTATCTCAAAAAATTCATTTCAAAACATTTTAATGTATATTTTTGAAGTGAGAATGGTGTTGCAACATTTACAGAAACTGGACATCTAGTGATTATCATTAGTAGTAGTAGTAGTAGTAGTAGTAGTAGTAGTAGTAGTAGTAGTAGTAGTAGTAGTAGTAGTAGTAGTAGTAGTAGTAGTAGTAGTAGTAGTAGTAGTAGTAGTAGTAGTAGTAGTAGTAGTAGTAGTAGTAGTAGTAGTAGTAGTAGTAGTAGTAGTAGTAGTAGTAGTAGTAGTAGTAGTAGTAGTAGTAGTAGTAGTAGTAGTAGTAGTAGTAGTAGTAGTAGTAGTAGTAGTAGTAGTAGTAGTAGTAGTAGTAGTAGTAGTAGTAGTAGTAGTAGTAGTAGTAGTAGTAGTAGTAGTAGTAGTAGTAGTATGCTTGGTTCAGCTGGAACTATCCAAAGACCAGACTCTTCAAGCACCCTATGACTAAAACAATCATTTTGAATGAAACAACCATACACTTACTTTGCTTTCTGATGGTTCTTTTAGATATGTTGCAGTGAACTCCATCTGAATAGAGGCATCGCTTTTCTGGAAGAGTGGAAGAGGGAGGTTTTTCCTCCCCAGCTGGCACCTGCTGTTGGCAGTTTTTCTAAGTACTTAAAGGAGCCTGGTTTTTAAAAGGTATCTTGCCTGATTCGTTGTAGATGCAGTTTCCATCCATGTTTTAAAACCACTTAATCAAACCCAGGATTGAGGAATGCACAGCCTTGTGAAGGGCGTGGCAATCAGATCCCCACAGATGCCTCACTGCTTACATGACCACTCAGATATGGCCTAACACTCGTATAACATGTGCGGAGACACAACCACATACAACAATAGATATGTATCCCTGGTGTTGTGCTGCGGACTTTCAAAGAAGAATCAGTTCCCAATGGTTGACTGGATGTGAACAGATAGAAAGCTGTCTGAGCTTTATCTCATTTTCGTCCATTATTCCCACCCAAAGGTTTGTCCTGCTCTGTATCCGTTAACCAATGCTATCCAGAAACGATGTGTTTCTTGATGATTTTTGCTCATTTCCTGACATGCAGACTCTTACTTCTCTAAGAAGAGTGAGACTAACTTTAAAGGCTCCATTTATTTCATTTTGAACTAAGAGATTTCAGTATCTCAATGCCTGTCTAGTCAGGTTTATGGCTGCATCTTTTCATCCCTCTTTCTTCTCTTCTCCATCTAGAGACAATCTTCTGTACCAAATGGAGCAGTTAGTGAAGCTGCACCACATCAGTGCTGCTCTTACCTGAAGGCTTCAATTAACCGTTCCACCTTCTGTGCCTCTCCCTGCACTCGAATGTGGGCCTGGAATTTCCGCAAAGCTTCATCAAGTTCCATGCCAGAGAAGTCCATTTCATCTACCACACAGCTAAGGGAAGGGGAAAATAAACAGCTTAACTATCAACCCTCAGCACAACATCCTCTCAGGAGATAGCCAAAAAACAATAGAACTATAATGCTTGCAAGGAGTTTCACAGTACAGTGGGGTCTCTACTTAAGAACATAATCCGTATTGGATAAACAGCTTAACTATCAACCCTCAGCACGACATCCTCTCAGGAGATAGCCAAAGGACAATAGAACTATAATGCCTGCAAGGAGTATCACAGTAATTCTTTATTCATTAACATGCCCCTCAATTAATATTTGATTTGTCTACAAAATTCTACCATGATTTGTATGTTGAATCTGCATTTCCCATAGGAATGCATTGAAAACCATTTAATCCGTATCTGCTCTTTTCCGTCCATAGAAACTACAGTGGAACCTCTACTTAAGAACTTAATCCATTTTGGAATGGTGTTCTTAAGTTGAAACGTTCTTAAGTTGAAGCAAAATTTCCCATAGGAATGGACTGAAAACCAATTAATCCGTTCTGGCTGTTTTTTTGTTATGTAGAGGTGCGTTCGTACATTGAAGCATTAGTTCCCATAGGAACTAATGCAAAGCTGGTTAATACGTACTCTACCACTAGGGGGAGATTTTTTTTTAACCTAAGATGACCTAAGGTTAAAAAAAGAGCAGGAAAGGTTTTTTTTCCTGTTCTTATCTTGGATTTCTGTTCTCAAGTAGAAGCAAAATTTAGCAAATGGAGCTGTTCTTAAGTTGGATTGTCCTTAAGTAGGGACGTTCTTAAGTAGAGACCCCACTGTAATTCTTTATTCATTAACACGCCCCTCAATTAATATTTGATTCTTCTACAAAAATCTACCATGATTTGATTGCAGTCCAGCCTGCTTCCTTCCTACTATTCACATGTTCTCTTTCTGCTAACATCTGACTCAGACATGGTCTTGGATTTATTTTACTTTTTTTTTTATCCCAGGTTTCCTCCATAAAGCTCATGCTAGCCTGTACATCCCCATTTTATCCTCATAGCTTCTCTATGAAAGCCAGGATTTAGACTACACAAAACCATCCTGTGTGTTTAACTGGAGTGGACATTTGAATTCCCATGAACTTCAGCACTGTATCTGTTACATAACACTGAGGGTCAAACTAGATAAGGTCAGCGCAGGTGTTATATACTGTATGCCATATAGGGCTGATCGTTCTGCAATAGACATATTTGGCCCAACTTCATGGATTAAGCATATTCTGTTCCCTTAAAGTTACTTCCCAAGCTTGCTTGATCTCATTCTTTCTTTCTGTATGTATGCATGTGTGTTTCAATGTGATGTTCATACGCCAAGTGTACCATAAAAAAAAGGGGGGGAGTCTTCTCATCCCAACATTATGTACTGTGGTACAGGAACTTCTATATGAAAAGCAGAAATAATGGCCAGAATCCTATGGTGTTGGTGAAACACCATCAATCATAGCAGCAAGTTGTCATTAGTTTAGAATTCAGTGCTTGTCTCCCTCATTACAAGCATCAACTTCTTAGATAGCTCCTTTCTGCTGCTATGTTTTATGCCATTTGACTTACACTGGTATACTTTAGTAATAGGATTCTGGCCAATAATCCACAGCAGGAATTAAGAAAAATATCTTAAATCACTCCTCCTCCTTCAACACAGAATAGACTTAGGAAACCCTATTGAATCATATCCTTAATCTGTCTGTTTCGATACAACTAACTGGCAGCAGATCTCCAAAGTTTCCTCATCCTCACTCCCCATAAGGCTGGAGGCAAATCAACATTTTAAATGAGAGGTAAAAACATCCTGAGACAAATTTCACTTCCAAGGGATCTTATTTATTTTGCCCAGGCTTCAATAGATCCACTTCGCATGCCTGTTATACCGAAGATGGCACAGTTCTCTGTCAAACATAATGAGTTGCTGTTGTTTTGTACTGTCAAGCCGGACACAACTTTATAATGATCCTAATAGGGCTTTCAAGGTAAGTGAGATATTTAAGGAGTGTTTTTACCAGTTCCACTGCCCCAGTGAGGTTCTATGACTGAGTGGAGATTTGAACCCTGTTCTCCCGAGTCCTATTCCATCACTTTACCTATCCACTTTTTTGGTGTTTAGTCGTTAAGTCATGTCCGACTCTTGGTGACCCAATGGACCAGAGCACGCCAGGCCCTCCTGTCTTCCAGTGCCTCCTAGAGTTTGGTCAAATTCATGTTGGTAGCTTCAATGACACTGTCCAACCATCTCGTCCAACCATCTCGTCCTACTCACTTTACCACACTGGATATCAAGCATAGTGAGAAGTCCGTTCTAAAGTGCTAAACTAGAAACCTCTCCCTCCTTTCACACTTTCCTGCTCCAGGGCAAGACATATTGGTGTAGAAGATCGTGTAGATGATGTCAGTCCAAGGTGCTCTGAATGCATCTGACATGGTTAAGAAAGCCCATGGGTAGGTGTGCAGTTTGCCCAGATAGGGTAACTGGGACAAGTAGTTATAATTTTCAGCTCAGCCCACAGTGCCAGATAAATATCATCAATACCTTTGGTCAAATATAAAAATCTGTATTAACTAAACATAGGTAAAGGTAAAGGTTCCCCTTGACATTTTAGTCAGTCGTGTTCAACTCTAGGGGGCGGTGCTCATCCCCGTTTCCAAGCCGTAAAGCCAACGTTTGTCCGAAGACAGTTTCCGTTGTCACGTGGCCAGCGTGGCTATACATGGAACGCTGTTTACCTTCCCACCAAGATGGTACCTATTTATCTATTCGCATTTACATGCTTTCGAACTGCTAGGTTGGCGAGGAGATGGGACAAAGCGATGGGAGCTCACTCCGTCGCATGGTTTCGATCTTACGCCTGCTGGTCTTCTGACCCTGCAGCACACAAAGGCTTCTGCGATTTAGCCCGGAGCGCCACCATGTCCCTTTTTTTAACTAAACATAGGGGACATTTAATTCTTTAGATGTTTGGGACCACATGGTCTACAGTCCTTCACCCATGGGGGGGGCTCATGGACTGAGGAGGAGTATACTTCAAAATCTGAGATGAGACACCCCCTCTGTTCTGATCATGAGACACCTATGCCATTACAGTGGGGTCTCTACTTAAGAACTTAATCCGTATTGGAAGGTGGTTCTCAAGCTGACTTCAAAATCTGAGATGAGACACCCCCTCTATTTTGATCATGAGACACCTATGCCATTACCTTTGCTGATGCTGGGAGGGTCTGATGGAAATTGTAAGTTAAAAGGTTCCTGACCTCTTGTATGGCTGTGTGGGCTTGTTCTGTGCTTACCACAAGTTCTTAAGTAGAGACCCCACTGTACCTTTGCTGATGCTCGGAGGGTCTGATGGAAATTGTAAGCTAAAAGGTTCTTGACCTCTTGTATGGCCGTGTGGGCTTGTTCTGTGCTTACCACAAACAGGATAAGTCTAATCTCTCAAAGCATCGATCTTCCTTTCAAATCATTTAAAACTCTCCGAATAAACTACAGCCCCATCTCCAGCCATAGAGACCTGGGTTCTTTTTGTGCCCGAAGAACTGCTGATATTGAATTCAGACATAAAGAGAGAAAAATCAATGTGAATGGTCCCCCAAGACAACTTCTATTTTCTTCCTTCAAGGGACAGATCAGAGGATGTTTGCAGGAGGAGAAAAGAGCACTAAATACCTTTCCCTCCCCCTCCCCCTCCTCTTTCCCCTCACCCATTCTTTCTATTGGTTGTTTGTATTTGACTAACTTATGCACTTCTTCTTCCCAAAGGGCTACATCAAGGCTTCTTGCGTCTAAATGCTCAGCTTTGATAACTTGCACAAGATGCCCTGGTTAATCAATACTAGGTTCGCCATGGCAGCCACCTCTGGAGACTTTCAAATTTGTAGGAAAGAACACAAGATTTTCAGTGCATTCCGCTTCCTTGCACTAAGACAACATTAAGACATGAAGCCCTGTCAGCAAATTGAGAACAGCAGAACTCGTCTTTTCCAGCACGAAGGCTGCCCTCTTTGTGTCAGGGCATCATCCAAAATACCTCAAACTTTTAGTTTAGTAGGTCTGAAAGTTTGCCTTAGAATGGTACCATCCACACTATACTTTGCAAAGGAAGTGAGCCAACCCAAACCAATTTGTGCCATTGTTGGTGCACTCTGGCTTTTTAAATCATTGTTTCAATGACACATTGCCAATCAAGTTTGACAGCAGGGAAGGGGGTGGACACAGGAGAGCAGCGTCATCTAGCTTGTTCTTCCTCCTATCTCTTTCTCTCTTCCTCTTGCCAGCAATGGGTAGGTATGGGAACCATTTCTGGATAACAAGTCTCAGAATAACAAGGCCAGCCTTACAGTGGCCATGCTATCTGTCAAATTCTGGGATGTAAAAGTAAAGGTTCCCCTTGACAATTTGTCCAGTCATGTCCGACTCTAGGGGGTGGTGCTCATCTCCGTTTCCAACCCATAGAGGTAGCGTTTGTCCAAAAATAATCTTCCGTGGTCACGTGGCCAGCGTGACTAGACACGGAACACCGTTACCTTCCCACCATGGTGGTACCTTATTTATCTACTCGCATTTTGCATGCTTTTGAACTGCTAGGTTGTCAAATTCTGGGAACAGTAGGTTAAAAAAACCCAGTTTCTTGTCTCTTGTCAATGAGGAGGAGATCTTGGCTCACAGAATGGTGGGAAAATCAAGGGTTCAACTTTTCTACTTCTTCTGAAGAAGAAATTCAATTAATGCAGCACTTATGTGTAAGCATATTATGTCCTACCAAGTGTACAAAACAAGATTTAGCATTAAATGGTGAAGATAACACCACTGAAGTAGCTCACCTGGTCAAAAATAGTCTAAATATTGTAACATTTTAATTTATTTTTAATTTTATCTATATTGCATATATATCCATAATTTTAAATTGTATTTCAGATTTTCACAGGATTATTTATAAGTGATCATTATGATTACAGTCTGCTGTATAGTTTTTTTCAGTTTAGCCTTCTGTAAATCACTCAGA